GGTGAGGGGTGAGGGGCAGGGGCTTTGGGTGAGGGGTAAGGGGCAGCAGGGCTGAGGGGCAGGGGCTTTGGGTGAGGGGCAAGGGGCAGCAGGGCTGAGAGGCATGGGTTTGGGTGGGGGGCAAGGGCACAAGCAGGGCATCCTGCCATGTAACCCCTGCCCACATTTTGCTTTTCTAGCATGCTAGTACTTCAGCACCTTCCAAGGTAGATATTGTGGGTTTTTTTTCGGCACTCCGGCCAAAAAACCGTTGCCTACCCCTGCTCTAGAGAGATCTGGTTTGGTGCTCTCCCTGTATAGCACCTGCTTCTTCCACTGTTGGAAACGGGATACTGTCTTAGATGGACTGGATTATTAGTCTGACTCAGCATGGTACTTTTTATTTTAGAAAACTGAGCATTTAGCAGGTTTCTTAGTCAAATATTAGCAATGGATTGCCTTCTCAGTGCTCTTCTATCTTAAGTATTTTAAGACTTTATGAAGCTTAGACCATATTAATAAGGACTATTAATATTAATAGGGACTATTAATATTAATTTTGTTCTTCTTGCACAGACTTATAGCAGAAATTCCCAGCCTTCCTTTAAAGAAAATGTACTCATTTTGAGAGGTTTATGTAGAGCATAGTTCCCTTGTCTGGGCACTGCTCAGTAGAACAGTCCTTTGCTATCCATGTAAGTGTACCATGAGCATGGATGTCCTCTGGCCTAAAGGGACTGATGCACTGCATTTAAAAGGCAAGCTAGTCTCTGGTCAAGCTACTCATAGATAGCTGTGTTCCAGCTCCTATTTTCTAATAGAAAGTCAGTTCATTAGGAGGTTCTCTTTTTGTCCTGCTCTAGGGAGAGTATGTGAGCTTCATGACCTCCTGGTTCCTGTATGTTTTTAATTTTTTTCTTCCAGGTACAGCACAGAAGAATCTTGTACTACTGGTTTTAAACCTTCCTCTCCAGGATTGTTACACTTGTGGGATTTCCTTTCCTTTCCTTAATAGCCCATATGTAGCAGTAGAGTGTCCAGAAAGAGGATTTCTGGGTTAAAAACTGTTTTTCAGCAGTCTTCTTGATAATGAGCTTGCTTATTCTGCAGGAGGTTAGGGGCACATCTAGATGGGAGAAACAAAGGAAGAAGGTCCATTTCTCTTAAATGTCCTCCTCTCATTGCAGGAGGAGAAGGATTACTTTGTTACAAGAGGGGGGCTTCTGACTACCAGAACTGTCGCATTTCTCTTAGAAAGCTTTATTTAAGGGAAGGGAAAATGGAAAGCAATCTTACCAAGTGCATTGGGCAGGGCTGTTAACTAACAGAACAACTGCTCCTGCCTTTTGGACCTTTTGCGATTGTAGCAGGGCAAGCTCCCAGGGATGGCTGTGATGACCCCAATGGCCACAGGACCCCTGCTCCACTCTGGCTCCCTGGGTTACCCTTCCTTTTCTCTCTCCTGGCATGCCTTGATATAATTAGTTGATGTGTAAAAAGGAAGGCTACTATCAGGTCCCGGATCAAGTGTTTGTTTATCTTCTGGCCAGCAGGTCCGTCTCGGACCCTGCTCATCCCAATCCTGTCTCTCAAGTGTTAAGTGGGCTCTGCTGGCCCATTCATGCCCCCAGGGCAGCTGTTATCTTAAGGGCTGTTCATGGCCCCCATCTGTCCCTACAGCCATGCCCATGCCTTGCAGATGTTACTGGTTACAGATGTCACTTCATAGTTGGGCCTACTTAGGCCTCCATGCCCTTATTGGGGTCTTAGCCTTCCTGACTTCTGCCTCTTTACTTTAGCTGGGTTCTTTAGCCTAGGCCTGCTGCACTGGGCCTTGGCTTATGAAATGCAGCCCCAATCTTGGGCTCTGGACCCCAGCCCTGGTTTTTGCACCTCTCAGCTCTGGGTCTTTGGTCTTGACTTCACCTCTCTCAGTTCTAGGCACCTGGCCCCGGAGACTTTGCCCTTATCAGCTTTCTGCTCACCTGGTCTTGAGCCCTGGCCCTCAGCAGGGCTCCAAAACCTCATGAGCAATTTGGGCACCAGTATATGTGTGGTATGCCCGTTAAACACCCCACTGAGGCCTTCTCATTCACTCCTTATAGTCATTCCAAGTCCACTGGTAAATAAGCTTAAACAAAAATACAAGCACACTGGCTGTAACTAAAACCATCCCCACACTGAGTCATACGTCCCCAGAAGCTATAGGCCCTTTACTTGTAATTCCTAGGGCAGCTCCAGTGCCAGTTAGTCCCTTTTTAGCAGCCATCCTGCTTAGGAGCTTTCCCCTGCTACCTGCAAGGCCAGACTGCCTTCCAGCCTAACGGAAAACCTGTTTATCCCCTAAGTCCTGTCCCTTCTGGCCAGTCTGGCCTAACTGGCCTGAGCACAGGGACTGTTCATTAGACTGACTGGCCAGCTGCCTTTGTCTGGGCCACAGAAACCCTTCCCTTAAGGGCTCTGCTGGCTTTGTCGCCCTCTCCCAGTAACAGGGTGAGGGTTGCCTGTTACAAGAACTAATATAAATTGGAGGACTTACCCCCACTTAGGATCGACAGGATGTGTTTTCCTTTGTGAATGTCCTCCTATAGCATTACAACCTAAACCCCTGCTCCTATAGCATAGGAATGGAAAAAGGAAACTGGTGACCGTACTCTGTCTCCATAGTTGTGCTTTTATACCCCTCCCAGTAAGAAAGGGTAACAGACTGAAATAGATGATAGAGTAGTGAAGGGATGTAGTAGGGACTGCTAGCCAGGATGGGAGTGGTTTTCCTGAGGGCCTCTGGTGACAACAATCAAACTTAAAATCATAGAAAGATAGGATTGAATGGAACCACAGGAGGTCATTTAGTCTAATCCCTTGCTCCAAACGGAACCATCTCTGGCTTCACACATACATTCAAATGACCTGGGAGAATTGTCTGAGGTTTGTTCTCCTGGTAGGAAAAACTGAGCTGGAGATGCCCGAGCCCCTGAAGAGCAGGGAGCATGAGCTTGTGCTGATGCTATGCAGCCAGGGGGTTGCTGTCCACACATTTCAGCACGCTCTGTAGGATCCCTCAGTCTGCAGTCTACAGATTACAGCACTGCATAGAGCAGCCCTGATTTTTGGCCCTGACTGGTTGGGGGTAGCTTGTCTCCCTGCAGCACAATATAATGATTGTGAAGGGAGCACGTTTTGCTTGGCTGGATCAATAGAGTCTAGTCTGTGACTTGCTGCCCCCCCCACCCCCCTTTCTGTGGGGAAGAGGGGCAGGTAGCGAGAGCAACGCATGCTGGGATGCTGGAGGATTGTGCTGTGGTTTCTCTCAGAATGCTCAGTTATAGAGACTTTTGCTGTCCTGGGAGTTATTTAACCTTGGTTGTTCCCAGGTTATTTTTTTCTTGGAGCAGCCATTTTTGTTCTGGGAAAAAAATCTTGAACATCTGTACACTCATGGTTTCTCCTGGGAGATCAGTGATTGAAATACGTTTTGTCCTGCTCCTTAAAAATTCCTAGGTGGGAGATTCCGCAATCCGTAGGTAGTCTGTTTCAGTTTTTAATCGCCTTCAGAGTTGGAAAGGTCTTCCTAGTATGCAGCCTAATTTTTCCTTGTTGCAATTTAAAACTTTATTTCTTGTCATGTCCTCTCTATAACAATCCTTTATTTATTAAAGGATTGTCATGCAGTCCTTCCTCAGTCTTCTTTTCACCAGACTAAATAATAACAATTTTTCCAGCCTTTTATAGTAAAACATTTTTCTTAGATCTCTAATCATTTTGAGATGGTGTTTAACACTGAAAAATGCAAGGTTCTCCACCTTGGGAGGAAAAACCTGTAGCATCCTTATAGACTCGGCAGTGCTACACTGGCTAGCACTGTGGAAGAAAGAGACTTGGGGGTCATCATTGACCACAAGATGAACATGAGCCTGCAATGCGATGCTGTGGCTAGTAAAGCGACCAAAATAGTGGCTTGCATTCATAGATGCTTCTCAAGCAAATCCTGGGACGTCATTCTCCCCTTGTACTTGGCCTTGGTGAGGCTGCAGCTGGAGTATTGTATCCAGTTTTGGGCCCCACGATTCAAAAAGGATGTGGAGAAGCTTGAGAGAGTGCAGATAAGAGCCACGCGCATGATTAGAGGTCAGGAAAACAGATCTTACGACGACAGGCTGAGAGCTATGGGGCTCTTTAGCCTGGAAAAGTGCAGGCTCAGGGGTGATCTGATGGCCACCTATAAGTTTATCAGGGGTGACCACCAGTATCTGGGGGAACGTTTGTTCACCAGAGCGCCTCAAGGGATGATGAGTTCGAATGGTCATAAACTACTGCAAGACCATTTCAGGCTGGACATAAGGAAGAATTTCTTTACTGTCCGAGCCCACAAGGTCTGGAATAGCCTGCCATCGGAGGTGGTTCAAGCACCTACATTGAACACCTTCAAGAGAAAATTGGATGCTTATTTTGCTGGGATCCTATGACCCCAGCTGACTTCCTGCCCTTCGGGCAGGGGGCTGGACTCGATGATCTTCTGAGGTCCCTTCCAGCCCTAATGTCTATGAAATCTATGAAATTTTGGTTGCTCTTTACTGAATTGGATGCAAGACTGGACACCCAAAACTAGATGTGGTATTCCAAGCAAGGCCTCACCAGTGCTGAATAAAGTGGAAGAATCACTTTCCTTTACATGCAGGCAGAGATCCTATTAATACAATTCAATATGGTATTGGTTTGTTTTGCAAGAAGAGCATACTGTTGACTCGTGTTCAGCTTATGCTCCACTGCAACTCCTGTGTCCTTTTTCTGCAGTATTAAAACCTAGGCAGTTATTTCCCAAATTTGTATTTGTGTTTTTTATTGTTTTGTCCTAAGTGTAGGCCTTTGTAGTTGTCCATTTTGAATTTCATTTGATTTAATTTCAGACAGGTTTTCCAATTTATTAGGATCATTCTGAATCCTAATCCTAGGTTCCAGAGCATCTGCAGCTCCATTCAGTTAGGTGTCATATGCAGATTTGTTAATTGTGCACTCACCTATTCCAAATTATTAATGAAGCTTTTGAACAGTGCCAGACTCAGGACAGACCCCTGGGGAACCCCACTTACTATCTTCTCCCAACTAGACATCAAGCCAATGATGACTACTCTTTGAACATGATGATCCATCCAGTTATGTATTTTTACAGTATTTCTCTAGATTATATTTCCTTAGCTTACTAATGAAAATATCATGAGTGACAGTGTTGAAAGTCTTGCTAAAGTCAAGGTTTATCACAGCCCCTGATTGCTCCCCATTCACAAAACCTATTATCTTGTCATAAAGCGAAGTCAGGTTGGCCAAGCATGATTTGCTTTTGATGGATCTGTTGGCTGTTGCTGATCACTTTTTTTTTCTCTAGGTGCATACAAGTATAGTCGTAGGTCAGGTGGATTAGTCATAATTCCCTGGATTTTCCTTCATCTTTCTTAAAGATGGACACTATATTTGCCCTTTTGCAGGCATCCAAGACCATACCTCAACTCCACAAATTCTACAAGAGAACAACTTCACAGTTACCTCAGCCAATTCCTTGAGTACTCTAGGAGTCATTTCATTGGGCCCTGCTGACTTGAAAACAGTCAACTTTTCTAATTGCTAACCTGTTCTTTCCTTGCCTTAGGCTGGTGATCATCTATTCTCCAATCCTGGCTGCTTCCCTATTCCTTTCCCACTGTGCTAGTTGCCTAATACCTGAACTTATTTGTGAAGACTGAAGTTAAAAAAAAAAAAAAAAAAAAAAAAGCATTCAGTATTGCAGCCTTCTCTGCAGCATCCATTGTTAGGTTGCCCTATGCATTCAGTGAACTTCTTACACTTTCCTTGGTCCTCCTTTTAACGAGAGAAACGGATAACTAAGCTTGAAAACAACCAGCAGAAATTCCTACCACCTCTTGAGTTAAGAACAAATGCTAAGACTTATCACAACTTAGCTATCAAATGAAAACTAAATCATTACTAGTAGAATAAGAATTCAGGTCTGCTAAATATGTGAAAGGGCATATTTGAAATGGAGATACTTGTCTATAAGTCCTTACTCTCTCAAAATCAATTATGCATGTTATATATCATGAAGGTAGTTATTGGAAGACATGCAGATTAAAAATTGTTCTTTCACTCATTGCATTATTAATTTAGATCCTCTGAAATTTTGTCTGTAATTTTATCTTCCCTTTGCAGATACTGCACTCCAAGATACCTAGACTATGAGGATCTGGAACGTAAATACTGGAAGAACTTAACCTTTGTTGCACCCATCTATGGAGCAGATATCAATGGGAGCATTTACGATGAAGTATGTAGTCTTATACATGTTAGTTAACCTTCCAGTTGTAAATTGAAACTGAAAACCATCTCTGCTTTGGAAATTGTCTCTATAGATCCCTTGTTAGATTTCTAGTAAGCTTGGGGTTGGCTGTAGGTCTGAATGATCCAACTCATACAGGTTCTTCTCTTCTGATCCAGGAGATGCAGAATCCTTGTATGGTCTCAAGAGTTTTCTTCCTTTCAGCCTCTTCATTGTTTATTATATTGCCCTAGGTGCCATCCTACCAATGTCCTTTTATTATAAGGGATGGTAACATAGTTCTAACTAACCTGTTCTTGAAATAAATGTATTGTCCTATTTTTCCACTGGCAGGAAGGTTGCAATACTATTTTCACATCTGGAAGGTCTGTAACTTCCTAGAAATGCTTTGAAAATTGTTGCTTGTGAGTTAGAACAGAAAAGAGAGGAAATTTCGTAATACTGTGTTGTTGACATAGGTTGTTGACATAGGGTAACAAGTAATTCTTAGTACAGATCTTGCAATCAGAGGAATGTGAGGTAGTTATTAACACTATCCATGCCACTTAAAGAACCACCACCAAAAAAACCCAAACCCCAACACTTTGTTTTTAAGGTTGTAGTTCTACAATGAAACCATCAAATCAAGAGAGAGATGATTATCTCTTCAAGAACAGATCTAGGTTTCCCACTTGTGGAATAAGTCCTTTTGCCAAACAGGTCTAGTCTACAAGGGAAGTGGACCCACTGGTTGGTCTTAAGTTCCATGGGGACTTTCTGGGCTACCTTGTATTCTCTTCACTTTTCCTAAATTAGGGGTACTCAATCCCTGGGCTGCGGCCTGGAGCCAGGCCATGGCGGGTCAGCTGCTGGTCCACAGCATGGTCGGCTGTCAGACTGGAAGTGGCCATAGACCGCTAAACCATGGCCCCCAAGAGTCGGGCGGAGAGGCTGCGACTCCTGTAGGACCCATGGCAGTACAGGTTTTGGCCCCGCCCCGGGGGCAGGGGTATCCTTACCTGTCTGCTGGCCGGAAATTCCGGCCGTGGTTGGCTGTGACTGCTGGGCTGCAGTTTGCCAGGCCGCAGCTTAAAAACTTTGGGAACCCCTATCCTAAATCGTTTCACTCAGCGCTTCTAACCATGTTGCCTGTGTTCTCTCCAGTTACTGAAAGATGTAATCTTTAGCGGTGACAGATAGTTTGAGGCCCTGCCTATAATTCATATTTCTTGGCAGAAGACAATTTTCTTAGAGTGATTTTTAACAAGAGCTCTGAACACAATTGGGTTCAGTTAACAAAAATGGCACGTGAAGTCAGTTTCCAAGCTAGGTTAAGCTATTGAATGACAGTTATTAACCATTATTAAAGGATCCTTGTATGCCCAGTGGTCCATCTCCAAGGAAAAGTAGTAATCTAAACATACAGAAAGTTTTGAATATCTGTAGAAAAATGATTTAGAGAGCAAATGTAAGGGGGCACTGCATTGGGGGACAGGACACTGAGCTTTCAGAACATGGAAAGGGGTAGCTTGTGTCTCGACAGCAAACGGCTCAAAAGAATCTGAACAGAAAGGGGACTGAGAACATTGCATTTTCAAGAAGTAGAAACTAGTTTGTTTTATTTTAATTCCACTTCATCCTGTTTATAATAAGTTTTGATTTTGTTAAGAATACTCTTATATGGGAAACTAAGGGTGGAACGTTTCTGGAACCCACTACCTCATCCTCAGTTGGGGGGCATGGGCAGAGGTTTGCTGTCCCAAGGATCTGTGTTGGCAGTATGCTACAGTAAATAAACAAGGGAAGAAGCCAGAAGACCAAGGGACAAGCAAAAAATATGACAACACTGAACAGAGGAATAATAGGGACTGATGGTGGGGATGGAAGAAATAGACATGGAAAAAAAACGGGCGAAAGAGAGAAAGAAGAATGATTATTATTTAGATGTATATCCTGCCATATCACAAAAGCTCAGAGTCTTTACAATAAACAAACAAACCATAGACGGGATTCCCCACATAGAGTACCCCAAAACCCAAGAACTGCAACTTCTTCACACCCCCAACACCTCTCCTTCTTTAACTGCCCCACTTCACACTCAAAGGAAATTCCTCCATCCCCAGTATCCCTTCCAAGTCCACATATCTTCTCCTATCCCCTGTGGCTGTTGCCCCCGCCACCCGCTTCCCCTTCAAAAAACAAAACGAACTTGGATCCACCCTAACTCCTCCCCTGCTCCCCCGCAGTAAACACAATACTAAATTCAAAAGAAGATTCGTGTGCCTGCCTCTGTCATCCCCGAAGGCCAGTGCCACAGGGTACCCTTTGGCATTATCCCAGGGTAATGCCTACCCACGGAGACTTCCCAGCTTTGCAGGACCTACAGGCTGCTTGGGTCCTCCTTCCTTTCAGGTGGCCAAGATGGTGTCTAGGCTGGGTCCCAGCTCACTCTCCTTCCCTCCCCAGGAAGTAGTGATAGCAGCAGTTCTTCAGTCCAGAATGGACACATCAGAAATGGCGTGGCATGCAGTCCATAGCTAGGCCCAAAGGAATTTGGTAGAAAGGGAGCAGCATGGCCCTGTTACCAAATTATTACTTGTGGGGGGGGAGGGGGAAGGTTGTGACTAGAAAAGTGGGGTATTATTTATAAGAATGTTTTAATTCAAGACAGAGTTTTATTGCCCAAATTATTCTTTGTCCAGCAGATGGTGCTGTTGGGCAACTAATAGGTTTTAAGTTTATAATGCTTGAAGGCAGTGCTAAAGGAGAAGCTTCTTGACTAGATCCTGAATCTAGAGACTGCTTTTGCCTTTGTTAATTTCAGGATTATCATTTATCCAAAAAGAATGAATGAAGTACAAGTATTTACCATTTTGCTCAAAGAATGATACAAAGGAGATGGCATAATCAGTTTCTCAGACCAAACAATTTGTGATAAAGGAAACATATTATTTATATTTAATAAAATGAGGAAAAACAATTCAAACAACATACTGTAAAGCAACACAATTATCAAAACACAATAAAGCAAATGTTTACCTCTTTTTTTTTTTTTTTTTTTTTTTTTTTTAAAGGCCAGATAAGGACATATATAATAACTCACAGATTAGATGTTGCATCTTTGGGTTTGTAATAATTCATTATCCTGTATGCATGCAGTCTAATATTCAGAAGTAGAGGTAAAAGTTGCAGTAATCCAGGTCCATTTTTTTTTTTTGTTTAAAAAACTGTCCTTTACATGATTTTGAGTAGGACTAATTCTGAAAATACTATGTTTAATTTTATATTAAAGTTATCTCTGAAACATTATATACTCTGGTATTTTTTTTAATTATTAAAAACTGGTTTGTCAGTATTTCTGAAATCCATCACTCTCCAGGTCCTTGGACAGTTGCTCATTTCTAGCATATAGAAAAATAGCTTAGAAGTACGAGCATACATGTGTTCCAGCCCCCTGGCTGGAGAGCTACACAGGCAAGCTCTCCAGCCAGGGGGCACTAGATGGGTGCTCCGTGGGCCACTGCTGCCCTTAACGGAGCCCATTATTAGACTGCCTGTCCTTTTCTTTTGTCTGGGAAGGGGCAGGCTGTCAAGAGGCAGTTTTCCAGCTTTTAAATCCACATGTGTACAGCCCAGATGGGCTGCACAACAGGAGTGATATTAAAACCTGAGATATACAGGGAAGCAGGACTGAGGGGAGCCTCTCTGACCCTGATCCTGGCTCCTCAGCTTTTAAATCACTGTGTGTGCTGCCCAGCTGGCAGTCTGGGGAAGCACAAGGAACATTGCTCTACTGTCCACACCCTCCTGGATCAGACTTGGAGGAGGGTGAAGTGTACAAGCTTTCATTCCTGAAAGAGAGTTTCTCTCACAGGGGAAGTCTTCCGGGTTGACCTGGAAGATATTACTCTGAGTGAGCATATTTCCCACTGGGAAATGGAATGAACACTTACATGTTCATAGTTTCTACTATGGGAGAGTGCCTGTACATGGCCCTGGTGCTTAGAAAGAGAGAATAGCAATACTTTTGTTGTTTTTTCTTTATGTCAAGGAATGATAGAAGGTAAGAGGTTTAGAGGAAGGATCATAATTGTAAATTCTGGAATAAAAAATGGCAAAAGGAATAAAGCTGTAAAGTAATTTTTATATTCTTGCAACCTGCAGAATTAATACAAACTAGACAAGAAAGGGAGAAGGGATGAGCTGGGTAACTTTAGACCAGTCAGTCTTACCTCTATTCCTGGGAAAATGCTAGAGAAAATGATCAAGGAACACATTTGTGCAGGCCCAGCAGGAGAAACGATGCTGAGGGGAAACCAGTATGGGTTTGTCGCAGGTAGATCCTGCCTGACAAACCTTGTAGCCTTCTGTGACCAGGTCACGCACTGCCTGGATGCGGGAGCTGAGGCTGATGTCATCTTCCTGGACTTTAGGAAGGCCTTTGACACAGTTTTGCACCCTATCCTCATTGGGAAGCTAGCAGACTGTGGAGTGGATGCCTACACGGTTAGGTGGGTGGCCAACTGGCTTAGGGACCGCACCCAGAGAGTGGTGGTGGATGGTTCCTTCTCGGCCTGGAGGGAGGTGGGCAGTGGGGTCCTGCAGGGTTCGGTCCTTGGACCGATATTTTTCAATATCTTCATCAGCGATTTGGACGAGGGCGTGGAGAGCACCCTCTCCAAGTTCACTGATGATACCAAGTTATGGGGTAAAGTTAGTACACCAGAGGGCAGGGAGCAGATTCAGGCTGATCTGGACTGGTTGGATCAATGGGCAGAGAGAAATAGGATGCAGTTTAATAAAGATAAATGTAAGGTACTCCACCTGGGAAGGAGGAACCCCCAGCACACCTTTAGGTTGGGGAGTGTCCTTCTCAGCAGCTCGGAGGCAGAGAGGGATCTTGGAGTCATAATTGACTCCAAGATGAACATGAGCTGGTAGTGTAACGAGGCTATCAACAAGGCCAATCGCACCTTGTCGTGCTTTAGCAGGTGCATGACTAATAGAAC